GGTGAGGGGCCTGAGAGAGATTTGAGGTTTCTTCCTTTTCTTAAAAGGACACCACCCTATGACCACATTTTACCTTATTTACCTCCTAATGGCCCTGTCTCCAGATAGTGTCACATTGGGGTTCAGGGCTTCAACATAGGAATTGGGGAGACACAGTTCAGCACATCTGTGGTCGTTTTCACAGTTCACCAAAGTTGGCATGTGGGAAGGTCACCACCAAGATCCTCAAGTTACTCTTTTAAAATCATTTTATGACTTAAATCAAGGCTGGACAAACTTTCCATAAATATTTAGTGAATATTTGGAGATGGCAGGCTATGCAGTCTTCGAATAATTGCTCAGCTCTGCCATAGAAGCACCAATACGACTGTAATAGGGCAATGTGCAAAAAAAACTGTATTTACAAAAACAGGTGGCAGGCCAGATTTGCCCACGTTCCAGGATTTGCGCACTCTGACTTAAGTCATTTACCTGCTCAATAAAGAGATTTAGAAAAATAAATAGCACACAATTTTTTTTGTCTCCACAAACAAAAGAACCGTGGTTGATGTTTGATGAATGTTCTTGGCTTTTTCTAAAGATTTTTGCTCTTAATTGGGGCTTTACTGTATTCTTGACTGTGTGTTTTATATTTCCTCAGATAACAGATCTATCCTAAGAACGTTTCTGTTATTTAAATGGTGCCATTGGGCAGATTTATCATTTATCCAATCTGTCCAAGATTGTTGAACAGCATGGTTAGGTGTGTGTGTGTGTGTGTGTGTGTGTGTGTGTGTGTGTGAGTGTGTGTGTGAGTAATGAAACAGAGAATGCTTTGTCTGGATTCTTCACTTCTTTTGGCGAGATCCCTAGGAGGGGGAGGTGAGGGACAAGCTGCTGAGGGGAACTGTGGTCCTCATTTTGTTCAGGGCTTGTCAGAGCCGCACCTCTTCCTCTGTCTGGTTGGCAGCGGATGTCTGCTGTCTCCAGCAGCCTGGCCTTGCTGGGGCTGCATGGGGCAATGCTGGCCACGCCATCCTGCCCTCTTTCCCTCCAGGGGCAGTGCAGGGGTGGAGCTGTGCCTTCTCCCGGCTGTCACTTGAAACAGCACTTGTTCCTCCAGTATTCAGGGAGCGTCATTGTACTCATTCTGCTGATTAATTAAACTGTTGCAGGCAGCTAGCTCCTGGAACGGCGGCGCTGTCAAGGGCTCTTTGAGGCACACTTTGCAGGCTGTCAGCCCTCTCTTGATGTTAGGCGCCATCTGAGAGCCAGTTTCTGCTCATGAGTGTTGGGGGTGCCGAGAGGGGTACCCACTCAGCCCCAGCCCAGTCATACCTCTTTACTCTGATGGCATTACTGGTGAACGGGAAGAGGCCACAGTTGCTGGACCCAGGATCTTGGGATGAGGTGAGCAGATGGGGGTCTAAGCTCTTGGTGGACAGGCACACCCTCTGGACAGGCAGGCAGGCAGGCAGGCCTGGGAGAGGAGCCAGTGAAAAAGCAGCTTGTCTCAGAACAGACCATCAGTGGGACCCAGGCCATGAACTCCGCATCCTGTACCTCACCCCTCATGTCCCTATCTCTTATCTTTACCCTTTATCTGTCCTAGATGGCACTAATGGAACCACCAGCCTCTGGGCTCTGGCTGATTTGAGCAGGATTGGCCGCTCAGAGTCATTACTTAGTGGCTCTCAGAGCGGGAGCCCCTGCCTCACATGGTTCTGGTGTCAGTGCTTTATGCCTCCATGATGGTACAGAAGGCCCTAGGGTAGGGGTGTCGAACTCAATCAGAGAAGGGGCCAAAATCTAAAATCCAGCCTAAATCGCGGGCCGAATGGTTTACTGAACAGTCATAAACTGTCATTGTGATGGAAACGCAGCGGAGTGCAGTGATGACAGCGCGGTGTGGGCCACATTGCAAGGCCTGGTGGGACGGATTTGGCCCGCGGGCCTTGTGTTTGACACATGTGCCCTAGGGCATGCAGGGGACCCCTCAGACCTTCTCCCCCATTGGTGCTTGATTTCTTTATCAGAAACTAATGACATGGCCAAACCGGAGGAGGAGCCTGTTTCTGTTGTGGTGCTGACAGGGGACCCCCAGAGGAGGAGCTGGAATGAAAGCAGCAGAAGCTGTCAGCTTTAGTCAATCCAGCAGACCCTTATAAAAACACCAGTTGTCCAGAAGGTTTGGGAGCCGGCTGGAGGGAGACAGTTGATGGGGAAAACATAGTGTGATTTACTCTCAAACTCGGGTCCTTCCCTGGGCACTGCTCTGAGGCTGCCCTAAGGACTCAGCCGCCAGCCTCTGTCTCCTGCCTGCTCCCAGCCCCTTTCCAGGACAGGCCCTGCAGGGTGGAGGCGCTCTGTGCTGCTTCTGGGCCCAAAGTGAAACAGCTGCAAGTAATGTTCCAATACGCACGTGACCCCAAAACAGAAGAGGGCCAGGTGGAGGTGCTGTTGTGGGGTCTGACATGTTCAGCCTCTGAAAGTTCCTATTAAGATGTTACCTTAGCAACTTTCTTACCCAACCTGTCAGGCTGAAACAGTAAAGGGTCTGCATGCCTGCACTCTCAGTTCAGCTGCTCAGTCCACAGAGGCGACTGTCTCTGAGTCCTGAATCCAGTGGGCTGTCATTTCCTTCCTGTGGACCCACAGGACCCTGCCTTCTTCCTTCTCCTTCCTCACAGGTGCCTATGTTCCCCAAGTCTCTGCCCCTAACCCATCACAAACCACCCCACCCAGAACCTGCACAGAGCCTCGAGAGAGGCTGTCCCCATTGGCTTCAACCTGGTTGGGCAAGGAAGCCAAGCAGTTGGCCCCCTGGCTTGCATCTATGTGTCCCCCTCCATGGGTGCACGCAGGTGCTTTTTTCAATTACTTAAAGGAAAGCAATTGCAGAGCTGCTCGATATAAATCCCTTAAGCTGCTGTGGATGGTAATGCAGGGGAGGCCACGGCCCGGCCAGGATTCTGAAACCCGGGCACCATCTGTGGTCTCACCACTCCACAGCCAAATTACACCACCAGCCTTTCTGTGTTCTGCAGATTTTCATTAAATGAATTGAGTTTACTGGGAGTCTCTTGGCCATAAATATTCCCTCCCTGTCTGCATTGTGTCAGTGCTGCTCTGAGTCCAAGCTCCACATCCAGGCTGGGAGTGGGGAGGGGAGGGATTGCTGGGGCTGCAGGAAATGCCCCGAACATTTTAAAAATATATATATTTTATTGATTTTTTTTAGAGTGAGAAACATCGATGAGAGAGAAACATCGATCAGCTGCCTCCTACCCCCACCCCCACACTGGGGACATGCACGCAACCAAGGTACATGCCCTTGACTGGAATCAAACCTGGGACCTTTCAGTCCACAGGCCGTTGCTCGGTTTTGGCACCCCGGACATTTTTTGCAGCCTCAGATTTGGTGTCGTAAATACTTTACTGTTTCCAGAGAAAATTGAGGGTAGTTTGAAGGACTTGACAGGGCAGGGTACATAATTGCCTCATTTAATTGTTTTCCTTTCTGTTTTCTGCTTTTTCATTGAGAAAGTGGCAGTGACAGCAAGAAGGCTGCGAAAGGAGGGAGAGATATGCATTTAAAACGGAGATGGGTTTTTAGCATTGGCTGGAAATGAGCTTCTCCTGAGTCTGTTGATAAGTGGCCGGGAGAGTGCCCAGCTTTCAGGGCTGCAGAGCAGGTGTCCCTGAGGGAAGACACTGGCGTGTCCCCAGAAGAAGGCAAGGATTGTGCCTACTTTAGGGAAAGACAAGTGCGGCACCCCAAGGTCAAGGTCACCCTTGAAATCCCCTCATCCTCTGCACCCTTTTCCCAAACTTCCACACAGCTTCAGCCATCCCTGTGGAGACCCCTCTTCCAGAGTCTGTCACCCATTCCAGGGGCTGCTGTATCCTTGGGAGCCTAGACCAGAAGCCAGCAAACTAGCCTGTGTCAAATCTGGCCCCTGCCTCTTTTGGTAAATAAAGTCTTATAAACACAGCCATGTCATTTCTGTAGTACCTATGATGGTTCCCAGCTACTGTGCAGAGTTGAGAGGTTGTAACAGAGACCACGTGGCCCACAAAGCTGAAAAGATGATTGCTTGGTCCTTTATGGAGATTGCCAGCCCTGCCCTAGATCGGAAGTCCCCTCTCTTTCTTCCTTCCTCTCACAATAGGATGGTCCCATCTGATCTTGGCCTCATGCACAGGTAAGTGGGAGGCCAGGACCACCTGGGTTCCTCTCGCTGACAGGGATCTGTTGAAGTCCAGATTCTGGGATTTTTTTTTTTTTTTAAAAGGAATGCATTTTATTTTATTTTATTTTTTAATATATTTTATTGATTTTGTACAGAGAGGAAGGGAGAGAGATAGAGAGCTAGAAACATCAATGAGAGAGAGTCATCGATCAGCTGCCTCTTGCACACCCCCTACTGGGGATATGCCCTCAACCAAGGTACATGCCCTTGACCGGAATCGAACCCGGGACCCCCCAGTCCCCAAGCCCACACTCTATCCATTGAGCCAAACCGGTCCCGGCCAGATTCTGGGATTTTTGGCTGGCTTCTTTGGCCTCTAATGCCCCAGGTGTCAAATGTCCCCAGGGTGCCTGTGATGTGATGCCTCCTGCACATGCCCAGCCCCGGGTCTACCACAGCACTATAACATGGAGGGAGAGGCTCTGAGAGCATATGGTTTGTTGCAGGGGGTGGTGTTCAGAGCATAAGAGGGACTGTATTTGAGCCTGTCCTCATCACAGGTGTTTGCCCCTTTGCTGAGGACACAGGGACCCTCCTGTCAGGGAAGTGTCTGCTCCAGGCCACCTGGCATTTGTTCCTTGGTACCATGTGCTGGGTGTCGGACCAGAGACTCCTATTTGCGGGGGAGGGGGTTACAGCTTGGAAAAGGGCATTCAGTGGCCTCACCTTTACCTGGCCCAGGCAGATACTGTTTCCTGTCTCATGATAGAAGGCCTAGTATGGGGTGGCTCCCCCTCAGGCTCAGAGCGTCTCTCCTGCCTCCCACAGTGCACATGCCGGAAGGACATGGTCAAGATCTCCATGGACGTCTTCGTGCGTATCCTGCAGCCAGAGCGCTATGAGCTGTGGAAACAAGGCAAGGACCTCACGGTGCTTGACCACACCAGGCCCACGGCCCTAAGCAGCCCTGAGCTCAGCACCTGGAGCACCTCCCGGGCCTCACTTAAGGCAAAGCTCCTCCGCAGGTGAGTTGCCAAGGAACTGCCCTGTGCCTGGCTCTGCTGGTGACTGTAAGTGACCCCCACCCCAGCCAGACCCTGCTGGCAGGTGGCTGCAGGCTGTCCCTTCCCTCTCTCCCTCTTTTTCTTTCCTCTCCTCCTCCTCTTCTCTGTATCTTGCTGCTTCTCAACCAGAGTGTTTCTCAGGCCCTGACCTTTTCGAGTTTGCAGACCTCATAGCAGGCGGTGTCTGTGCTGTTAGACTCAGTTTCCATTCTGCTCCTTGTCCACCAGCTCCTGGAAGGCTGACCCTTTGACCCTCCAGCCATCTGGTTTTTCTCTGGGACAGCACACTGTCCCTCTTCCTTGTCTGCTTGTGACCTTAGTGAGAGCCCTATGTCTCTGTTAGGATTGGCTCTGAATGATGGCAGGTACCATGCTGGAGGCGTGCGGCACAGGGGTCCAGTTCCTGGTCCGTATCCCTGCCATTTCGTGTTTGATTGCTCATTTTGGCTTTTCCAATAATGTGCTGCTCAGATTCATGGTTTTGGAGTCACCGAGAGACCCGTCCTCCCAGGCACATCCTTTGCCACCCTCTTTCCATCCCAGGGAGCCCCCTCCTGGCCCATGCCTTTATGACAGCGTGGTGGCTGCCCAACCTCGGGCCTGGCATCCAGTGGGGAAGGAGAGGGTGAAGTGGCTGCACCCTCTTGCCATCAGCACCATAGCCACAGGGACATGGGTGGCAGGTCCGGGAAGAGGAAGAAATGGACTTCCTGCCAGGAGGGAGATAGCAGTGAGCACTGTGCTCTTGGTATCACTTTGTAGCCCCAGAAGAGGCGGTCCCATTTTCTTCTCTTCTCCGGAAGCGTCAAGGCTCCTCAAGGCTCTGAGCTACTCAGACAGAGTTCCAATGGACTCAGTTTTGGTGCCCAAGGAATGTTCAGCAAGTTCTCCCCGCGAAAGCCACCACAGACAGTAGACTTTGAATAAACAGTGAATGTGGAGTGCCCCAATAAAACTTCATTTGTGGACTGATTTGGAATTTTATATCACTTTCACATGTCACAAGGTATTATTATTCTTTTAACTTTTTACCAGTTAAAGACAGAAACAACTTTCTTAGCTGGGGCCACACCAGAACAGGCAGCGGGTGGATCTGGGCCTCCGGTGAGGTTTTCCAATTGTAGCCTCTTGGTCACTTCTGGCTTCTTTTGTCCCCACTGATGATGGACAGTTGGCTCCAGAGACGGACCATTGAGGAGGTGGGGGCACTTGGACAGTTCCTTCCTTTGGCTGTGCCCGGTCGGTGGCACTCCCACACTCTGCAGAAGCACCCTTTAAACTCTGCCTGGTCCAGAACTTTCTTCCCTGGTGGGGCTGTTCTATTATAGTTTTTAGCGCGTTTATCTGTGAATCCAGAATCTTGGGCAGTCTTGGCTTCCCCCACATGTTTTCCCTCCCCTTGGCCTCTGTCTTTGAGAAAGTTCCATCATCCCAGAATGCTTTCACTCAGGTGAGTCTCTCTTTGCTGATTTCTGTTGTTGTCTGTCCTTTTGATTCTTGCTCTCTTGTGCATTCTCACGAAAAATGACTTCTCTCAGTGAGGCCCATCTGCTGATCCCTCCCAGCAGGGCGAGCTTGCTGAACAGAGCCCAATGCAGCATTTGCATAACGGCTAATGGATTGTGGCTCAGTCTAATTGGTCAGCAGAGCAGACTGCCAATAATTAAGCGCACTTCCAGAAATGGATGGGATTAGAGGACCGGCTGCCAGCTATGTTTCCCTTAGCTGGAACCTTTTGTGTGCGGAAGCTTCCCCACAGGCCCTCTTCCTGCCCGCTGCCCCCTCTCATTCCCCAGCCCAGCCAGCCCTCAGTAGAGGGCGCTTGGCTCACTTGTCACGCTCTGTTCCTTTCTGGAGCGTTCCTCTCCCTCCTCAGCCTCCTCTGTTTCTGACTTGGGGAGCTGTAATATTCCGACAGAGGGATTGAATAACAAATTAAGTCGTGTCCCCAAGGATATAATTTCCTTTAAAGCTTTTAATATGTTAAATAAGACAGATTCCTCCCCACCCCCCCTTTTTTTTAAGTCATAGAGGGGCTTTCTCTGTAAAGGTTGATTATGGGACTGACATTTCAAATCCCACGGTCCCTACTCAGACCGACCCAGCCAGGCTCCCCTCCTTTACCCCTACATGGAGAGTCCAGTCTTCCTGGCAGCCCCCCACACTGAGCCCCCATGTCATTTTAGAGCAGAGGCCAAGAGTTGGCCTCTCTGGGAGAGAATGATCTTGTCTCCCTCCCTCGGATTTATCTTCCATGCCTAAATTTTGTTGAATACACCCTTCCCCGATGACAAACAAGGCACAAAGCTGGGACCTCTTGCTCCTGGCTATATGGCCTCATAGGCCCTCACCATCAGGCAGGATCCTGCTTTGCTGGCACAGGCCATCATAGAGTCTGGCACCTTTCCCGGTCTCTGCCAGCCTCCCCTCCACCCATTTCTACCCACAGCCCTTGTCCATGTGCAGACTGTCTTCCTCCCGCCTCCTTGTTACTTCCAATGAGAACATGGAGAAACACAGCCCATTGAACACATGTTGCAGCAGGTGTGCATTCAGCTTATGGAACATCTGAGCTGCCACTGCCATGCTAGTGCAGAGAGGAGGAAGGAGAGGAGACGCGCTTCTTCTCTGGGACCCGTGGTTCCCGTCCACTCCAGCCCCTGCTGGCTCCACTGGCTGTGGCCTCCAGCTACCCATGGGGGAGCCCTGGCCCTGCTTGCCCACCTGCACCACCACTCACCACCATCCTTGGTTCACCATGGAAACGAGGAGCCAGGAGCAGCTTCAGCGACCCCTTTGATGCCTCCTGACCAGACCCTGGACACCATTGAGCCTCTGACCCTACTCTTGCCAGGGTTGTCCTGGCGACTTACTGAATGTTTCTTAAATTCTTCTTCCTCAGAACGGCCTCAGCCATTTCTCAGGGGCAAAAACTTCTAGACATCACACACCCACTTGTCTGTGTGGGCAGGGAGGAGTAGAAGGAGAGGAGGCACATGTCCTGGGTCTGGGTGAAGGGGAGAAGGGCCCTGGGGTACACAGCTCACAGCCCCTTGCACCCTGACCCAGGGGCTGCACTGGCACCAACAGCCTTGGATGCCTCCAAATTCCCCCTGGGTAAAGCTGGTCCTGTGAGGGTTGACAGTCCTGCCTTAGGGAACAGAGGGATTGTGTGCTTTGGGCCCCTCAGCTTCCAAGCCCGGAGCCACACTGAGCCCACTGCATAGCCCACTCTGCCTCTCCTGCCATCTGGGTCTAAGGACACCTACTTCCATCTTGGAAATATTAGTACAGCTATTTGGACTTAGTTCCAATATTTGATTTGTATAAACTTACCTAAGTAACGTCCAGTTAAGCCTGACAAAGTGCTCATTTATCTCCATCCTCCCCTGAAATGCCACTAAAATGACTGTAAAGGAGTGACAAAGAATGGGCGAGGGGGCCATGATAGCTGAGCATTCGTGGCAGACTTGGAAAAGGAGGAAAGGATGGCCAACATCAGTGACTTTGCAGCACAGGCAGCTCAGGTCAAAGGCTCACAGACAGGGTGCGGCTAGTTGGTGCTGAGGAACTTCGGAAAGGCAAAGGGTTCCAGATGTGGCCACCTCCCGGGACGGCACCAATCTGGGATGAAGGCCAGTGTGTAAGGAATTGCTGGGCTGGGGTACCCCCACTCCACCCTACCTCCCAGCAGAGGACGGGAGCCCTGCTGCCTGATGAGGTGAAGCCTGGGCAGTTCTGGGCTGGAGGGAGAGGCCTTCCTGAAGGTGAGGTTGTGGGACCCCAGCTGCCAGCCCCACGTGCCTCTAACCCCGAGGCCAGAGACTGTAAGGTCCTCTCTGGGTCACAGAATAGCCCAGCAGAGGAAAGCTATATGTTCTGAAGTTGGGGGTCCCCCGTGAAGTGACAGGACTCCTGCCCTTTCCATCCCCTTCAGCAAGCCCTGCTCACCCACCATAGCCACCAACAACCTTCCTAGTCCCTCACACAACTCAGCCAGGGGTCCCTAACCCTCTGAGGAAACTCAATAGGATACAGAGAGTGTCCCAAACACAAAGGAAAAGCAGAACTCCCCACAAAGAGATGAGGCAAGGAGCAAGAAAACTCACATTCTCCTCAGAGGGTGAGTGAGTGTGTTTATGATAGAAGCACCTGATACTATAAAATGAAGCATTTAGGAAAGAGATGGCTGTTGGACATTTAAAAAGAGAGCAAAGAAGCCCAGCTGGTGTGGCTCAGTGGTTGAGTGTTGACCTATGGTCACGGTTCGATTTGGTCAGGGCACCTGCCCTGGGTTGTGGGCTCAATCCTCAGTAGGGGATGTGCAGGAGGCAGGTGATCAGTGATTCCCTCATCATTAATGTTTCTCTCTTCCTCTCCCTTTCTGAAATCAATAAAAATATTTTTAAAATAATAAAATAAAGTGAGAGCAAAGAAAACACTAGAGGGGTTGGGAGATAGCTTGGGAAAACTAGAGGACAGGACAGAAAGATCAGAGGCTCAGTTCAGGAACTCCAGCCTCTACTAGGAGTTTCAGGAAAGGAGAAAAGAACATTTCCCACGAACCAAAGACGTTTTCAGAGTACAGAGTCTGGCACTGGGGATGAAGATTATACGCTCCTCGGAACATCACAGCTCTAGTTAAATAGAAGGTCTCCAGCTTCCGGAGTGAATAAACATGTCAACATAAAGAACAAGGTACCCAAATGGCATTGGACTTGGCGATCATAATGCTACAAGCTAATAGACAGAAAGGACGAGGCCTTCAAAGTCAGAAGAGAAATAATTTTTAACCTAGAAGTATGTACCTAGTCAAATTACCAACTACATGTGTGAGAGGAATAGGATCCGTTTAGACATGTGGAGTCCCAGTTCCCCTCCTTTCTGAGGAAGTTAGAGTGTGCTGTAGCTAAGCAGTGGCAACAGCCAGGAGGGACACAGCACCAGGGAAACCAGATCCAGCCCAGGAGAATCCAAACCGGTTTCAACGTAAGGATGCCATGGAGGTGTGTGTGGCGCCCTACGTAGGAGACCACACCGGAGCTTGGAGATAACCCGGAAGGCCAAGCATCTAAGAGAGGAACGGCTTCTCCTGGAAGAGCGAACCAGGACTGCAGTGCAGGCAGCATGGATGAGCAAGTTTATAGTCAGTCAAATGTAAAACGTGGAATTTCACCACAGCTGAAGATGGTGGCAGACTCCGCAGAGAAGCTGGTGGGTGTGGAAGCAGGAAGCATAGCTACACCCGGAGTGGTAACCAAGAGCTGCTTGGTAACTATGCAAAGAAAGCCAAACCAAAAGAGAAAAATTAAAGAAAGAAAGAAAGAAAGCAGCGTGGGGGAGACATATGGAAGTAACTAAGAGAAGAAACAGCTAAAAGAGAGCAGGGTGTCCTGTCTGGGGAGCAGCCAGGGGATGCTGTTATGCTTGGAATATGATTAGGATGTGCCTGGTGGATGCCTCCCCTCCTCCCCCCACTCAGTGGCAAATTGGCCACAGGTTCTTCCTGCGTTAGTCTCCCAGCTTATGTACTCACAAAGTGGGTATTTCTTTGCATGCTGACGTTCATCTTGACTTCTCTCTGCAGTAGGGCGCAGCCCTCTGCTTAAGTCTGTCTACCTAGTTCCACCCATTCTGGGGGTCTCTGCTTTGGGGGGGATGGACCAGGGGTGCTGGGGGGCCCAGAGCTCTGAGGCCGGTGGAGTGTTGGGGGATGTGGAAGATCTGGGTTCTCTGGGACAGATGGGGACACTCCTGGTCAGCCCTGGGATTGGGTGGGCAGGGTCAGAGTGCCAGTCCTGGGGTGAGAGAGGAGACCAAGGGGCTGGGCAGCTACAGGAAGCTGAAGCCAGGTGAGTTGTTAGTAGGAGGACACCCCTCTACTGGGCGTCTGGCGCCAGCTTGGGGGTTCGCTTTGGGCACCCAGCTCTGTAGCCATGTGGCCCCACAGCACTTCTAGACGTGGAGAGAAGCCCCTTCTCAGGTGACAGCTGGTGACGAATGCCAGCTATATCTACCACCAGGTCTTGGGACTTGCCGCCCGTTTTACTGTGGGGGCCATACCTGGCATTTCCCAAACTGACCCAGTGTGGATTCGCTGGTGGCTCCGCTGTGGTGGAGAGCATCTCTGGCTCCCGCGTCCCCTTCCGCCCTGCCCTATCCCTTCACAGTGACCCTTGCCCGCCATGCTGTGTGTGATGCCATGCCTCTGCCCATGTTGCTCAATCCTCCTCTGACACCCCCGCCCCCCCAATGCTCCCTGCTTTTCACCTTTGGTCATGGGGTGATTCATGCTGCAGACATCAAGAGGGGCTTGTCACATGCCCCCTGTGCTCGGGAGACGGAGTAGCAGAGACTAGAGCCCTTGAGTTAGGCTGTCAAGCCATGAGAACAACCAGCAAAGGTTAGTGTTAGAAGACGGTTAGGAGCGGGCGCCCCAGAAGCCAGCATGGAGAGTGGGTGTGGGCTGGGGGCAGCAAGGAGGCTGTCAGGTCCCGCTGCTGTAGGCACCACTGGGTGAGCCTTCCTGGCTTCCTACCCTTCCCTGGTCAGATAGCGCTGCTTCTGCTTGGTGAGTGTTGGTCCTTGGGGTGTGGCTGCCATGGGGACCCCATAGGGTCTCCATATCGGAGTCTGACCTCACTGGGGCTACAGAAGAATTCATGGACAAGGGAAGCTGCAGTCAGCACTTCTCTTGGAAATGTCGACATTCTCAAGTTGCAGACTGGGATAGATGAAAGGGTAGTGGGGGGTGGTCATGAGGCCTGAAGCCTGCGGCCATGTGGGAGGGCATTACCCCCATTCCCTGCAGGGCATTAGTGCCCTGCCCAAGGCTGGGCCCCTCCACACACCTGCCTCTGCCTGAGCTCCTGGGGTACTACATGCCTCCTGTTTGTCTAAAAGCTGCTCTGTCCCCTCCCTGGAAAGCTCCAGGATCCTGTTTCCCAGAACCCCTATAGGGGTGCCCTGGCACTAATCTGCAGGCCCACCCCCGTTGTTGCTTTCTTTTCTTCCTTTTTAACCCAATTCTCTCTCCTTTTCACTAAGAAGCCATAGCTAAGCCTCAGCTTGAATTCTCACTGGGGGCTGAGGTTCGCCCCTGCCACCCCCAGGACTGTTACACCCTGAGCCGAGATGGATGTGGGGACCCGACATCCCTCTGGCCCGGGCCCTGACCGGAGGCGGGTGGCAGGCGAAGAGGGCATGGGTGCAGGCTGTTCCCTGGCGTGGAGCTCCTGAGTGTGGAGAGGCGCATGGGGAGCCCGACGGAAGCAGGCGCCCAAGTCGAGGCCCTAGATGAGGCGTCTTGGGGAGTTGACACCAGTCCTAGAGAAAAACACCCTGACATTTACATTCTAGACAAATTAGTCTGAAAGAAAGCAGACACTGGAAAAAGACTGAGGAGGAGAGGAAACCAAATCTAGAGAGGAAGAAAGAGCAGAGCAAAAAGCCGGGCCTGTCGTAAGTGCACCTTTTGATTTGTTTGTCGTTTAGGCATTCTCCACCGCTGCTGCTCCCATTGCGGTCACGCTCCCTCTCCCTCCCACCCCACCACATGGGGCTCCTGGAGCCCAGGTTCATCCAGTCATCCCATCTCCAGCTGTCATCCCACCCGCTGTGACACTACCCCACCATCCCATTGCCCTCCTCATCCCTTCCCAGGCCTCTCTCCCTCCACCACCCCTGCCCTGCCCCCCAGAGCTACCTCCTGAGGATCCCGTCCCCTGATTCTGGTTGTGGAGGCTCCGTACTGCCAAGCACGGGCCCGGGCCTCTCCCCTCTGCTGTTTCACCTCTTTTCTGATGACTCCCCCTCTCCAGGTCTCACCGGAAACGCAGCCAGACCAAGAAGCCCAAGCCGGAAGACCCCAAGTTGCCCGGGGAGGGGTCGGCTGGGGCAGCTCCTCCCGAGGAGACCAGTGGTAGTGTGAAAGAGGAGGTTGCACAGGAGGCGGATCCCGAGGATGAGGAGGAGGATCCCCAGCTGCCACCGCAGGGCCGGGAGGCAGAGGGCACAGAAGGTCAGTTACAGCCGGGCAGAGAGGCCAGGACTGGTGTCCACACCAGCTCCTTCCTGACCCCCAGCCAGTGGAAAGAGCCAGCTTCACTCTGGCTACAGCGTTTCTGCGCTTTAAGAGCCCAGTCCATGTGCTTTCCTGGCCGTGGGAGGCATGTCATAAGAAATGTACATTCTGGGGGATGCTGGGAAATCCCTCCTCTCCCAGAAACTGAGGAGTGGCCGTCTCAGTCCACTAGGGCTGTGCTCACAGAGCACCACAGGCTAGGCAGCTTACAAACAGCCTCGGGGTGCCGTGCGGCCGGGTCCTGGTGAGGCCCTCTTCCAGGTTGCGGCTGGCTGCCTTCACGCTGTGGCCACACGTGGAGGAGCAGCCAGCTCTGCGGCCTCTGCGGTCAGGGCACCGATCCAGTTAATGAGGGCCCTGCTCTCATGACCCGATTACATCCCATAGGCCCCATCACTCAAGACCATCACGTTGGGGGTAGGTTTAAACATAATGCTTTTTGGGAGACATTCAGCCACAGCAGAGGTGTGGTCTACCCATCGTGAAGGAGGGCAGCCTGCTGTTTGTGGCCAGATGTTGGTGAGTCTGCGCTGGGGTCGTGGTGGGAGTGTCTCAGAAACATACCCCTCACACAGCACGGGACCACGTTAGCCGTGGCGTATTAATGTGTTTTAAAGGTTTCCTCTCCATGTTTTACAGCGTTTCCTCTTCTTTATGGCTGGTTTCATTTTTCTAACTTATAGCTTTAGCTGCTCCCACGTTCACACACAGCAGCTGCTCTCAGGGTAGAGGAGGGGCCTGTCCTCTCTGGTCCTTCCCAGGCTCCGGGCAGTAATGGGGCCGGGATGGCAATTGCCTGGCGGTGGCGCCTCAGGCCCCAGTCACAGGCCATAGTCACCGGAGTGTTCTGCTTGGGTCCTCAGTTCCCCTCCTGTTGTCTGTGTCTTGGGATGTGTGAGTTCAACATGGCCCTGCCTATTTCAGCGTTGTGTGCTCACCAGGAGGTGCATCCAGGGTGACTATCCATAGGCACAGTTGGAGACATACCTGGATGTACCCACAGACTGATGTTGGTTCCCAGTTAGGGAGTGACTGTCCCCTGGCTGGCGGGCGAGTGTCTCTGAGGGGGACCCTCATGCACTCACAGGGGAAGAGCAGAACATTTCTAGGTGAATTGTGCGCTGGCACCTTCCCAGACGTTCCAACACGTGCTTGTCTAGTGGGGTGTCACACACCCAGGAGATGCAGAGGTAAGGTGGAGAGAGAAGACAGCTGGTTGGCGAGGAAGCATCTGCCGGCAGTGTCTGGGCATAGGTGTGATTCCCTACGTAGAAAGGGATGTGGGGACTGAGCCATCGAGTCACTGAGGTCAGGTAGAGGAGCTGAGTGTGCCCCACACAGCAATCGGGTCTCATTCCGTGGCCAGCCATGGGCAGATGGCAGCATTGTCAGGATGCTACCTACAGTAAAAGCAACCAAAGAGTAAGCACTTTGGAACAAAGCTAACAAAAAATAGAAGACCTTTTGGAGAAAATTAGAGACATTTTTGAAAAGTAAGGAAGAATTGCTAAATAATGGAGCCATGTGTGTTGGGAGAACTCCCCCGTGTGAAGGCCCCATACCCTGCCCACCACCACTATCTGGGGGTTCCCAGCTCCTTCAGGATCCCAGCAGGCTGTGGGGTTCGATCTAAATGTAGATGAAGGGACAGAGGTAGAAGAGTAGAGTCAGGGGAGGTCTGGGGACTGGCCGTCAGTTTGCAGGACAGGAGGGAGCACTCCTCCACTGCAGGTGGGAGAGGTGAAGGTCACTGCCTGTGCCCAGGGGCCTCTCAGGGGAGCCCCAAATGCCACAGGGGGCATGTGCACAATGCCCCATTTACTTCCAGTTCAGAAAACTCGCCAGCTGGACAGTGGGTTGTTGAGGGAGCGGTTGAGTCGGCTTGGGCTGCCTAATGAAGCACCCAGATGGTCTACGGGCCTTCAAAAACAGCTTCTCGTCTCACGGATCTGGAGGCCAGAAGCCCATGATCAAGGTGTCAGTCCTGGTTCCTTCTGAGGCCTCTCTCCTTGGCTTGTAGATGCCGTCTTTGCATTCACATGGCGTTCTCCCTGTGCCAGCATCTCTGCCCTAATGTCCTGTCCTAAGGACACCAGTCACATTGGATTAGGGCCTCCCTGATGACCTCACCTGAGCTCATGACATCTGCAATGACTCTAGATAAGGCCACACTCTGAGACACTGGGAGTAGGACTTAACACAGGAATTTGGGGGGTGGGGACATAATCCAGCCCATAATTGAGAATAAACACGCTAAAACCGAGAAGCCTTGGGTTACTCCTGGGGGTACCCCGAGTGGGGGTGGAGGGGTACATGGTGTCACGTGCCATGGTCCTTCAGGCCCTGCACTGGCGTGTGTGCTCCTGGACATAAGAATATGAATGAACATGCATGTTCTCTAAGGCAGTCGGGTGGTCGAGTTTGGGTTGTGATGGTTAATAATGAGCTCTCTGAGGTGAGCCCTGGGACTTAGGGCTTCATGAGGGGGGCTGCTTTCCTAGCTTGCTTGGAGGTTCCATGTCCATTGAGAGTAAAATATGTGCTATATGTGAAACCACAAGCCACGTGAAGGGAGATGTGGAGGACACTTGCTCTCCTCACCAGTCGTTGCACTCACTCCCCTTTCCCTCAACAGTCCCACCCCAGAACCCCTGGGCCTTTTCCCAAAGGGTCTGCACTGCAGGGATGGTCACAGTGTCAGATGGTGTCATGTGCCCAGGACTTGGTACAGTCCTCCAGGGCTGTGGCTTTCATGGCTTCCAGCGGCATGTGGACCCAGGCAAGGATGGGGCCATTTCCGGGTGGTGCATCTGCTAGGGCTGATAGTGCTCCCCCGTGTTCAACATCCACCTAGTCCCTGTCCCGTGACAAAGCCCTGTATCCAAGAAGGAGGAGTTGAGTTGTGTGTGTGGGTCTTTTTCTGGAAAGGAAGTGGTCCCTTGGGGCCCTGGATGTGGCTGCCACTGCTAGAGAGCCTCCTGGGAGCCATCTCTTGGGCCCTTGTGGGAAGACAACTCTGAATGCATCAAATAAGCGTTTGCAGTCAGGGGTGACAGCAAGCACATCGGGGAGTGAGTAGAAGGTTTTAAAGTGGTTTCCAGACTTCCTTTAATACCAGCTTAATGTCCCTAAAAGCTGTAAGTGCTAAGGATCATGTCATGTGTGAGCAATAATTTTATGTTTGCAAAGGGAGACCATTTGCTGTCGCTCACACACTGGACACTTTGACAACATCTGGGTTCTGGAGGGGCAGACGGAAGCCCTCGGGGTAGGAGGGACTCTGGGCTGGCTGATGGGGCCCCCAGAGCCTGGGAGGCTGCTTCTCAGCTGCAGGTGTCCCCACTCTGCACCCACCGCTGGGTGGTCTGAGAAGAGCTGCTGCCCTGGGAAAGGCCCCCACCCGCATGCCCACCCCTCACCCAGGCAGCCGTTTCAGTCCTGGTTTGCTGCGACAGCAGGGGCTCCTTTCTCCTGTCTGGCTGTGGCCATGTCACAGTGCTCTCGCCCCACCTGTAGTTTCTCACAGTTTGGGGGATGGGGCAGTAGGGGCAGTGCCAAGACCCAGGGGGGCTGGTCCCGCCAGTGCTGTACACTCCCAGGCAGAGCACGCAGCCAGAGGGACCCACCCTGAGACATCCCAGGGCCTTGAGGAGACAGGAGCACCCTCTGGGCAGTTCATGGTCATGGAGCCCCTGGTTTCAGAAATGGCCTGACAGCTTGTGACTGGCTTTAGGCCAGGACAGCAAAGGCTGCTGTACCCAGCAGGGAACAGATGGGCTGGGCCTTTATGTGTCTTCTCTTGGAGACACATCTTGCCATGTAGGACCCCCCCCCCCCCTCCCTGCCCCCAGCCCAGTCCATCTGGGCCTCACCCACACGAGGCTGCGCCCTGCTCGGGCTCTGCATGGGAAGAAAGCAGGAGTAGCCTGGACCATGGGACTAAGACCACTCACCCTGGCTGGGCAGTGGGTGGAGGGTGTGGAGTGGAGTGTCTCCAAGCCAGATTGCAGTCATGATGCTACCACTACATTCTGTGGGCAACATATAGCAGAAGTTGAGCTTGGGATCCCAGATCTATCACGTCATCTCAGTGCACCCCTTACCTTGGCTCCCTACCCCCGACCCCAGTGAACTTGGTGCCATAGAGAAGGTGTGGGAACTCCAAGGAACCTGCCCGGGTCATAAAATCAGTGGGGGTAGGAGTGCTCTTGGCTGTGGCATCCTCCCCACTGCTAAGAATAGTGTTAAAGGGTCTCAGCTTGTCTGCTATGGCGGGAGGCAGTCCCTGCATTCTGCCCACCTGTGTCCTGAACCCCAGGAAGTGGGAGGCCCTACCTACTGGGGAGGGACTGTCGGGGATCCTAAGCCTCCCTTTTTTCCCTTGACCCTAAGCCTCCCCTTTTTTTTCTATTAATCCTTACCAGAGGATAACTTTTCCATTGATTTTTAGAGAGAGTGAAAGGGAGGGGAGAGAGAAACATTGATGTGAGAGACACATCAATTGTTTGTCTCCAATGTGCCCCTGACTGGGGTTGTGGATCAAATCTGCAGCCCAGTTACATGCCTTTGACTGGGAATTGAGCCCATGACCCCTCAGAGTGGGCTGATGCTCGAACCACTTAGTAATATCAGCCAGTGTGACCCTAAGCCCTTTAAATGTAAAATTTCTGCTCCATTTTGGACTTCCTTGGGCCCCAGCAGGTGGGGAGCTTGCTGAGTTCTGACAGTGTGGCCCCTGGTGGGGTATGAGATGGGAGGGGAGTCCTGTGGTGACAGAACCGGAGCCCCAGGTATCCTTCCTGGCCTTGGGCTTGTCCCCTAAAGGGCCCTCTGTGTTTGTCTCCCTCGGCTTCCCAGAGCCTGGAGACATGGGGAAAAGGTCGGAACTTGTATCTTTTTGACAGCAGAGCCTCCAGAGTGGAGAGTAAATTGGACCCACTGTCCTCAGGATGACAGACTGGTGCGATTCTCATTCAATATTTGGACTATGAGGGTGGAAGAAATACTGACTTTCCTTAGAGAACAAAGCATTTATCTGAAAGTGCCTTTTACACAAATAGGATAGCGGCTCTAAGGGCCAGCCTCTGTGCTGGGTCTGTACATTAGCCCCGACACCACCCTGGCCACTCATCTCCCAGGCCTGTGGTCACCTCCTGGGCCGTGGTCCTGTTACCGGACATTACTGTGCAATGCTCCGCGTCTCTCTCTCTCCGCGTCCCTGGATGGGGAAGGGGCCTTTATTGTAGGGAGCCATCCACCACTGGAGGGGAGGGAGATCTATTATTTGCTTTCCTTGGCCAGATAGCTTGCCCAGACCCCTAAGGGTCTGGCAGGGTAGGGTCCGGGGGAGTGGTTAAGGCTCCCCTTGTTGGGCAGAGGCGAGGGGAGAATCCTGGGTGCCTCCAGAAGACTCAGGACCAGGAGGCAGGGGCCAGGGTGGGGTGAGCATCCCCTGCCTTCTGGCTGATGGAGCCTCTCTTGGGAAACACAGGTTATGCTTGCCAAGGACGCCATGGGCTGTCCCACAGCCAGTGCAGGGCTGCAGCTGCAGACGCAGGAGGGTGGGAGCAGGGAGCGAAGGAGGGAGGGGGGACTGGGATACCTCCACACAGTTCCTGAGGCCTGGCTCCAAGCTCTGCAGCCCCTTATTGGGAGTGGGTGGGCAGTTCGGCTCTTCTCAGTGCTTTGGGCTGGTGTCTGCTGGCAGGCAGGTTCCTTTGCTTGTTCCTTCTTGGAGTCAGTGCTGATCAGGGGTTAAGTGACAAGCCCTCACCCAAGGTCATCAGCATTTATACCGTCATCTTTGGCTGAGGAACAGGGGTGACATATGGACAGGTTTTTATAGCAAGAGGTAAAAATGTGGCTGCCGTGTTGCACACCAGAACTCATTATACTTCCCGTTGTCACTAGTTTCACATGGAGAGGGATGGATCTTTGCCCTCCATTTGTCCCTATTTTCCCAGCCTGAGACTGCTGAGCACAGGTAACTCTGGGCCTCCGAGTCCTGTCAGCAGCACAACCCTCATTCTGGGGTGTTCAGGAACCACTCATTGCAGGCAGCCAAGATAGCTGGTCCCCTGGTTTCCAGCCAGTGTTCTTTATGTAGCATCCTGAACCCGCGGGGACCTGGGACACCCAGATGATCTTTGTGCCCATTCTCCAGACAGGGCAGGCAAGGCCTGAGGACTGCAGAGTTCACTGTGCTCCCAGCCTGCCCTGGTAGGTCATCGCCCTGGTAGGTCATCCTTGAGAGCAGAGTCCCTGGGGCTGCCATGACAGTGACCTCACACATATATTTGCTGACAGTCTGGGAGGTCAGAAGCCTCATGTGGGCCTCCTGACACGGACCCAGGTGTGGCAGGGCTGGCTCATTTTGAGGCCTCAGGGCAGGGTTATTTCCAGCTTTTGGAGGTACTACATCCTGGGCTTGTGGCTCTTCCTCCCAGCATCAGCATCCCTCTCACCTTCTGTAGTCATGGCTCCCTCTGACCACAGCTGGAAAAGGTCCTCTGCTTTTAAGGACCCTGTTAGTACACTGGGTTCACCCAGACCATCTTCACTCACCCACTCCCATCTGCAAAGTCATGACCATTTCAGGTTCCACACTCACAGGACCCAGAGCTAGGATGTGGGTGTCTCTGGAGACTATGATTCTGCCAACCACACACCCATCCTGGCCCCCAATTAAAATGCCATGGAAGACACCCTCACCTGTTGCCCACCTGCCCTGTCAGCTGCCAGGAAACCCCCCAGCACTGGCCCTTGAGGGGGAAGGGAATTCCAGGCCCTCCGGGCCCATCTGCTTTTGGTTCCTCTTAAGTAACTTCTCCTTTGTGGTTTGTTGTTTGAGACTTTGCTTTTAAAAAACTCTACAAGTTGTGTGTTTTCACTGTAGAAATACACAAAACTCATATATCCCAAAGGAAAACAAATCCTGCCTCTTCTCCCCTGCCCCTTGGGAAAGACACATATCTCTCCTGTACCTCAAGCTAACCCCAGAGGCACTTTGAGCACGGGCAGGGGTGGCGGCTCCCCTAAGACTCGGGAGTGGCTGGTTTCCTGCCACCTGGCAGCATAACCCGGCAGTGACTTTAACTTGCTGGAAGCCTGTGTTCTTTTGGGGAAGGCCAGAGGGGTTTCTCCCCGCTCCAGCCAGCTCCTGCCTGGGGCAGGGGCCTCCCATGAGGCCACGGGCCTCAGCTGTAACCGGTCTTTCCTCTCTCCTCACAGAGGACAGGAAGGGCAAACTACGGCCAGCCAAGGCCAAGAGCGACCGGAAGAAGAAGAGCCCCCTGCACCCTCACCACCCACTCCTTCCCGAGCTTCCGCCAGCCCTGCCCATCCAGTTCCCCAGTGAGGAGGTGCTGCCGCCCCCACTGGAGCCCCCAGTGCTGACCCCTGGCCCTGAAGTCACTGAAGAGAGCCCCTTGCCACCGCCCCTCAACGTCATGCCCCCCGAGGCACCTGGCGAGGAGCTGGAGTCGAAGTCGCGCCCCATCATCCCTATGTTGTATATGGTGCCCTGGGCCAGCCAAGCCACATGTGAGAAGGGCCGTGTGTCCTGCCAGCAGGCGTCTGAGCACTTTCCCCAGAAGGGCCCCACCTGGAAGGAGCAGCTAGCCCCCATGGAGCTGACGGAGCCTGAGGAGGACAGTGGAGCCAGCGAAGTGCAGGTAGGATGCCCTCCAGGCCCCTGAGGCTAGGGATCCTGCCTATCCCTGTGCCCTGGCCACAGCATCCCGGCTCATGAATGGCGCCCTTGGCTCACAGAGGCCTGTAGCGTATGTGTGGCTTAGAAACCACAGTGGCTCCTGCCACCTCTTCCTGCAGTCTCTCACTCCCTACTGGGGAAACTGAGGGCACACTGAGCCGAACCTGCCCCTTTCTCTGAACTGTGACCCAAAGACACTTTCTGTCCTGTGTTTCAGGCACCGTCAACATTTTCCAAGTTGAAGATGGAGATCAAGAAGAGCCGGCGCCACCCTCTGGGCAAGCCGCCCACCCGGTCCCCTCTGTCAGTGGTCAAGCAAGAGGCATCCAGTGATGAGGGTGAGTGAGGTTGCTGTCCCCTGCCTGCTCAGGCCGCAGGCTGTGTGACAGAGGAAGCCTGTGAAACACCCCTCCCCATGCAGGCAGCTGTCATTAGAGGCACCAGGGCTTAGACCTCCGCTGGCCACGGTGGGGTAGGTGACACAGGGCGGCTGAGCCCAGCTGTGGGCCTTGGAGAGGTTGGAACAATGGGCTGTGGGAGCTGGATCTGGAGCCTTAGCAATGGAGGCTCGGAGATGAGAAGCTTGTATTTAACACTCGGCTAGAATCAGAGCTACTATCTCGTGGGCAGAAACCCTGGGAAGTCAATTTTTCTTCTTCTGCTTTAGCCTTCCACTTATGAAGCATGTGGAATTTGAGAATCTTCTGGATGACTTCTTGTATTCTGAATCTGATTTGAAGGCTAGGGCAGGGTGGGTTCTAGAAGCTCCATGGATCACAGGACTGAGCTCCCAGGAGTGGAAGGAAGATGAGATGTGCCTTGAGTCCCTCCAGGTGTCCTCGGCCTCATTGGGAGGGCGTGTACCAGGCGTTCTGACCCAGCCCAGCCGCTGTGAGGTTGGGGCCTCAGGATTGAGCACTGGCTTCCGGGGCAGGCTCCCAGGGAGCGCTGAGTCTCAGGTGCTCAGGAAACCCAGCATGAGACTTCGGGGAAGGGGCTGGTAATGACAGGCAGGGAGGGGAGGGAGGACAGAAGAGACCTGCCTATTAGTGACCTCCATCTTCCCTTAATAGGATTTTCTGGTAACGCTATCTCTCCTCCCTCTACACCCCCTTTCTCTCCCCCTCACCCCCCCAACTCTCAGACACACTCTCTTGACTCCTTTGAGCTTAAGAGTCTACCTAACTAGCTAAGGTTTGACCCAGCCCATCTCCCACCCCCAGACAGGACCAGCCCCTCCACCCCAGCCTGGGTGGCTTGGTGGCCTCTCTGCAGAGAGACTCAGGGGCTGTGTGAGTGGGGACATATCACCAAGGATTCTCTGGGCAGTAAAACTACCTACCCTTCGAGGGGGGGAGTGGACCTCAGGCGAGGTTTAACTTTTTCTCTCCCCTCCACCCTCCGGTGTTCTAGAAGCATTTCCTTTCTCCGGAGAGGAGGACATGAGTGACCCCGAGGCCTTGAGGTCCCTGCTGTCCCTGCAGTGGAAGAACAAGGCTGCCAGCTTCCAGGCTGAGAGGAAGTTCAATGCGGTGGCTGCCCTCGCCGAGCCCTACTGCGCCATCTGCACCCTCTTCTACCCGTATAGCCAGGTGAGCACAGACCTCACAGGGCCTCACAGGGCACTGTCTGTTCCCCTCAGTGCTATCGTTCGCTCTGCTGAAAAGGAACTCTGGGCGGGTGATGGGGAGAGAGAACCCATTTGCTGCAGGAGCCACAGTGCAATCAGCTAGAGCCTGGAGGACGGGAATGGGAGGGAGGGGACAGTCACAGGAAGAAGCCCATGAAAGTTCAGGTTGATGTTTCAATGGGAATAAAAATGGGGTATCAGACCGAGGGGTGGGGGGATGGCGTGGAGGCATCATGACCACTGTCCTCAGAAAGTCCTCAACTTGGCCTGGAGTTGGCACCAGCTGGGGCTAAAGGGCATGGGTGGTGAGCAGCCAAGTCCCAGAGGTGAGCTGGGGTGAGGGCAAAGACCCTCTGTGACCCAGCTGGGACACCAGAGCTATGAAGACCTGATGGCTCAGCCCTGAGGCAAGCACAGTGTCCTGTACTTTCCAGTCTAGGGCTCCTCTGTCCCATGTTTCTCAAGGTGGGAGCCTGGCGTCTCCCTGCACTCTATTGTGTGCCATCAGCCTGCCCCATCTCCCTCGTAACCTCTTATTTCATCCCCTTGTCCCCCTCCCCAGCCCTGACCATTGCCTGCTTTCCAGCCCTTTCCTCCCCCACAGGGCCCCTGCCCTTCCTATTAGTGCCTTAGCATGGCCAGCACAGGCATTTGTGAGGCTGCTCTGTCCATGTACTCCCTGGCTGGAGACTGCCGGGCCCACCACTGCCTTCAGCCAGGCCACATGCCCTGTGGCCTTTGACAGCTGCCCGCATCCGATCCTCATGCCACACAGCAACAGTGTGCTCTTCGATGTCCTCAGGGTCTCCTTTCCACCCCCAACCCCCTGTCTTGCCAGACAGATTTTTGTTCATTCTTTGAGTTCACTCGTTTGCCACCTCTTCCAGGAAGCCTTTCCAGATCTGCTGTCCCCGACTGGCTCTGGGATGCCCCACCTTGAGCTCTCCACTCTCCTCTGCTCTTGGTCCTGACCCCTGGATTGTGAGCCCCTGGAAGACAGAGCCAAGTGTCGCTTGCTCTTTTGGGTCTTGTGCTCCTAGCCTAGTGCCTGGTGCTTTCTACACATTAGCCAAGCTGCCCTGGGGTCTGTGCCCTCTGTCAAGGGCAGCGTGCCCATCTCTAGAGCTGCCCAGACTGTCTGTAAGCAGACTTAGCATCTGGAGGAGGAAACAAGTGATATCCAGATGTCTCCTCCGGGCACAGCCCCCTCAGTGCTGCTGGAGAGGCTGCTGGAGTCAGCCTGCTGGCACCTCCAACTTCAGACGTGAATCTTCCTAATTCCAGCTGTTCAGCAGTCGTGGCTAACTTTAATCAGCCCGCAGTGCCGGCGGGCTTGTGGGCCAACTGTTTCCAAAACCCGGGGCCCTTGCAGTAAGCAGGGCTGTGGCTGGACACACTTCCTGTTTGGAAAAGCCATTTGGGGGCAGATTAGAGGGGTGGGAAGAGACTGATATGAGGCTCTTGTTTCAGAGCAAGTCCCTAATGTGAGGTGCCACCATCCTCCTGACACCTGGCCTGTGAGGCCAAAGGTCCCCGGTGGAGCTCTTTCCTCCTGGGTCAAGAGCAGGGCAAATCCTCCTCTCACACCTTGGAGGGCCTGGGAGGCTCTTTGGGGAGCCCCATGCCCTGTGATAGGCGTGGGGGTACCAGATCCCAGTGCCTTGGGCAGGGTCATTTCACCACATGGGGAGATCTGGAGAACTCATTACAGCCATCATGGGGTATATATTGGAAGTGGGGAGACATCCACATAGGTATACAGATACATGGCATCAGGTGACCACAGAGACAGGCCAGGGCTACTGGTCACCTGGGCAGGGCAGGGTCCAGAACAGAGATCTGAGTGCTCCAGGCAGGAGAAAACTGTGTGTCCAAAGGCCCTGGGGCAGATGGCATCTGGGGTGTTGGAGGAAGAGCAAGGCCCATGTGGCTAGAGGAAGTGGGTAAAGGGCTGTGAAGCCAAGAGGGTGAGGGCACCAGGGTGGTGTCGGTGCTGTGTCCGGATGTGACCCTAACAGAGGGTTTTCAGTGGGAGCAGGACAGGATCTGACTGTGTTTGGGAGAGCAGGGTGAGGGCTGCAGGGTGCACTGGGGAGGCCGCGGGCATCTTGGAAAGAGGCCTCAGTGCGACACCTGGGACAGTGGGAGGCCAGCTAGGGGCGTGTTTGGTTATAGAAGCAGCTTGAAGGATGGCCTCGAAGTCTGGCTTAATGATGACAGGTGGCCCCATGCTGGGCTCTCCACTGAAACCTCCCCCCACCCTCTTCTACAGTCCCTACAGATGGAGAAGGAGGCCCCGCAGGCGTCCCTCGGGGAGGGCCCTTCTATACCACCTTCCAAATGTGGCCAGAAGACGCGGCCGCTGATCCCTGAGATGTGCTTCACCTCCAGCGCCGAGAACACAGAGCCCCTCCCCGCAAACTCCTACATCGGTGACGACGGGACCAGCCTGCTGATCGCCTGTGCCAAGTGCTGCCTGCAGGTCCATGCCAGTGAGTGGGGTCCCACACCACAGGCAGGCTGGGCTGGAGGATGTGGGGGCTGCGGCAGGCAGCTGTGCTCGCCCTTTTAGGATGGCCACCGTCTCGGCTGTGGAGCAAGAGTCCCTTCCCCTCAGCTGCTGTTTAGGGGCTGTCACAGGCCCTGGGTCCTGGGGCGGCGTCCTGGCCTTCAGGGGAAGACTTCCTGCTCTTTCCCCTGGCCAAGGTGTGCCTGCCTGGTCCGCCTCCTTCCAGCCAGCTCTGCTGAGCCTTGCCCTGCCCTCGGGCCGGGAGCCCAGGAAGAGATTAGGTGTTTGTTATGTAATACGATGATCTGCTTTGGGGCCAGAGTTGATGGTAAAGTTATGACTCTAGAGAGGTCCAGATCGGATATGCCTCCTGTCAGCAACCAGCCTCTCCCAGACCCTGAAGCATAGCCCACGGAGACAGCAGAATGGACCTCTGCCCCCTTCGTAGGCATCAGGGCAGGGAATGAGCTTGAGATCTCAGGAAGAAAGAGCGCTTCTGGGACCATGTAATTTCCCGCCCCACAGAGGAAAGCAGCCCTTTGTCCCTAGTCTGTCCCTCCTCTGTTCCAGCAGAGGCTACTCGGGGTCATTCTGTCTCCCGTCTGAGAGCCCGTTGATTCAGTGAGATGCCCTCCAGGCGGTCTCCCGGGGACCACTCTAGAGGGGCCTGTGGTTGGCTTCTCAGGGAGAGAGGTACCTCACTAACCTCAGGAGGCAGAAGGCTTAGCACAGGTGAGTTCCTTGAGACTTGGCCCTGGAGGCAAGTGAGCCTTCTTTCTGCAGGAGCCAGGCCCCCCAGGCCTGACCTTGGCTGAAAGCCTCAGCAGAGAGCACAGAGGGGTCCAGTGTAGGCTCTTGGGCACTTGCTGTCCTTTGGGGTCTCCTTTGGGGACCCCTTTGCACCTGGCTGTGCCTGCAGTGCTGCTGGGCAGTGATCCAAGGGTGAGCGGAGCCCCTTGTTTTGGGGAGCAGCACCGTCCATGTGCCTCCTCCTCTGTGCTCTCTCCGTTTTGAACCATGACCACGTTCCAAAGCAAACCGCCTTTGTGACTCAGAACCTCTGACTCGTGTATCAGAAATAACTATTCGCCTGAACACTGGGCTGGCGCACCCAGCCCAGCCCATCCGAACCCCAGTGTCCACAAGGCTGACTTTGCATGTTATACAATTTCCTGGTAACTTTACAGGGTCATAGCTCAGCAGAGCTTGAGGTGGGGGGGCAGTGACAGGGCCCTGATCTCCTTCCCAGCATCTGTTTCCAGACCCTTCTCCTGCTGTGTGCGTGACTGGGACTGAGGTAGGGAGGAGAGAGCAGTTCCCGCGGAGCCGAGGCTGGCTTCCAGAAGGCCCCGAGCTTCGTGTGCAGCTGCAGTGACAGGTGCACCTGGCTCAGCCGTCCTCCGCTGCCTTCCAGGTTGCTACGGCATCCGCCCGGAGCTGGTCAACGAAGGCTGGACGTGTTCCCGGTGCACGGCCCACGCCTGGACTGCGGTAACTCACCCCTGCAGTTGGGGTGGTACTCTGAGAGCTGTCCAGCCCCATGGGGGAGCCAGGCCTGGGCCCTGGGCTTGCCCGATCCCGCAGAGTGACCCTGGGCTGGCGACCTCACCTCCAAGGGCCTTGGTTTCTTCACCTTGGCAGTGAGGGGGTGGAGCCCGACGCACCCCCGGCCCCTCCCTTTGGTGACTGCTAGCTTGAAATGTAAAGACCATGCCCCAGAGCAGCATGGGGGCAGCCCTCCCTTGACCCCCCCTCGCCATGGGCTTGTCTGTTCCTGCAGGAATGCTGCCTGTGCAATCTCCGGGGAGGAGCTTTGCAGATGACAACAGACAAGAGGTGGGTAGAAGGGGTGCTGCTTCTCCTGGGTGTGTCCTAGAGGTGTTGGTTCCTCCTCAGGGCCTCGAGTTGGGGCCGGGGGACCAGGAGGAGCAAATAATCACTCAGATTAGATTATCTTTTATAAGTCCTATAAGCCCTGACTGGCCAGCAATAGCGCTATGGACAGGGGCTGTGCCAATAGAGTGAGAGGGCAAGGGGCAGGGAGGAGATAGAGGGCACCCATGACCCCTGACTCCCCCTCTCCCCCAGGTGGGTCCATGTGATCTGCGCCATTGCAGTCCCTGAAGTTCGGTTTCTGAACGTGATGGAGCGCCACCCCGTGGACATCAGCGCCATCCCTGAGCAGCGGTGGAAGCTGGTAGGACCCCTGGATCTTGTCCTGTCCGGGGGGAGGAAGCATCAAGAAGTCAGATGCCATCAATGTCAGTCTGGCCAAACCTATTACTTCCTGCCTGGTCCCAAAGGCACAGGTCCAGAAGCCAGAGGCACAGAGGTGCGCAGAGAGAGGCCCCCTCGGGGCGGCACAGGCTCCTGCCCCCACCTCTGCGCAGAGAGGTCCTCCACACTCTCCAGAGGCTCGTGCACTTCCCGCCTTTTGCATAAGCGGAAGCCTCACCCTCTGCCCTGTGCTTTCCTTGCTACCTAACTAGCCCCACTTTTCTAAAAAAATTGTGGTAAAAACACTTAGCGTGAGATCTTCTGAATAAAATTTTAGGTGCACAGTCCAGTATCGTTAGCTATTGGCACGATGTTGCGTGGCAGAGCTCTGGGATATATGCAGCGTGTGGAACTGCAACTCAAACCTGTTGGCTGGCAACACCCCCTCCCCGGACACCCACCCCTCCAGCTGCTTCTCTGAGTCTGACGGTTGTGCGCGCCTCCTTTCAGCGGGATCCTGCAGCGTTTGGCCACTGCGTCTGGTTTCCCTCACTGACATAGTGCCCTCACGGTCCCTTCATGTTGTCTCAAATGGCAGGATTTTTATCATGGCTGAATAATACTCCAGTGTGCGAATGGACCACATTTCTCTATGTATTCGTCTATCGTGGGCACTTGGGTTGTTTCCATGTCTTGGCTATTGTGAATAATGCTACAGAGAACACAGAGGTGTATACAGGGTGGGGCAGAAGTAGGCTTACAATTACTCATGGCAAATGATAAAATAAATGATACTACAAGAGTAAACTGTGTTCTGCATATTCACAAGTGTAAACCTACTTTTGCCCCACCCTCTATACTTATCTCTTCAGCATCCTGTTTTCATTTCCTCTGTATATATACGCAGAATAAAAATGGCTGGATCATATGTCCGCTGTTTTTAATTTGTGGAGGAATCTCCATACTGTTTTCCATAGTGGCTGCACCAGTTTACATCTCACCAACAATGCATGAGGTTCCCTTTTCTCCACATCCTCACCACACTTACCTCTTGTCTTCTTGATGCCTGTGATGATAGCTCATGGTAGTTTTGATTACTCTGATGATCATTGTGCTAGCACCTTTTTGTACCTATTGGCCACCTGTACATCTTCTTTAGAAAAATGTCTATTAGGTCCTTCACTCATTTTTAAATTGGGTTGTGTGTTTGCTGTTGAGTTGTTAGAGTTCATAACTGACCCCTGGTGGTTTACGTCAAGCTTCCCATCTAAGGAGCATGTGGCCATCCTCGGTGAACCTCTGGGGCAGCAGGCAGTGTGGGCAGAGGGTGACTGTTAGCATGCACGGGCTTCCTTTCCTGGCTCGGCCACCAGCCAGCTGTGTGACTCCAAACATACTCCTTGGCCTCTCTGTGCTCAGCCTTCCCCTCTCTAGCATCCTCATGGTGCACACTGGGGGCCTCCCAGCAAAGCCCTGCTTATGCGGTCTGAGCGCTGTGCCTGCTCTCAGGCTTATCGTTGCTGTGAGTGTGTGGCAGCCATGCTGGGGTGTGTCCCACTCAGGGATGGGGGGTGGCAGCTCTGATGGGGACTGTCGTGTGGCACTTGGAAGCTGGAACTTGGGCTGGGGCATCCGAAGCATCCATGGTTGTCTTTTCTTCCTGTTTTGTTTCCCAGCTTTTTTCTTCCCATTTTATTCCCTGGGCAGTCCTGGGTTTTGATGTGCCTGCAGAGGGCAGAAGGCAGAGGACTTGGGCTGTGGGCAGTGGGCCTGGTGGGGAGTCTTGTGGGAAGGAACAGAGACACCCACCTCAAGCCCACAGGTGCTGGGCCAGCAGGCAGAGCTGAGTGGGCACCAGCCGGAGCCAGTGGGGGACAGGGACCTCAGTCATGGAGTGCTGGATGCAGGCGGGCAATCGGGAGGGGCTGGTGGCCTGCAGGTGATTATGGGCATAAAAGCTTCATCATTCAGGTGGAGTGATGGTGCAGTGCACGGCCCGTAATCCATCCTCCCCCAGACGCTTTATGGAGCATCTGACATTTCCAGCTTGCAGCCTCTTCATTACCAGCACTTGTAACGATGAATTAAAAATCCTTTTACACGAGGCTGGCTTGTACTGCTTAATGGAGCCACGCAAGGAAGCCAGTGGTTAACTCCTGCTTGCCCAGCTGCCCGCCCATCTTCCCAGGCCACAGGCCACATGTTCGGGAACAGTCACTCCAGGTCTCCGTCCATCATCTCCCAGTCTTCCCTGGCCATCGTCCCTGGTGCCTGGGGGGAGGGGGTGTGTGGTTCTGGTGAGTAGGGGCTGGCCCTGTCTGCCCAGTGGCCTGTGCCGTGCGCTCATCCCCTCAGCAGGCGGGGATGGATGCTGGAAAAACCCAGACACTGGGCCCATGCCACGCTCAGCTCCTGACAGATGGCCTGGCCCACATTCTCTCTGATGCAGAAACTCAGAATAATGAGCTGCCACCCACTGGGGCCGGGGGATGGTAGTGTTTTGAGTTAGGCCAGGCCGATGGTTTCTCCCGGGCCTCAGGTGGGGCAGTGAGAAGCGCAAGATCGGGAGCCCTGCTGGCTCCTCGGGGACCTCAGGTGCTGTGCTCACCTCTGCTCTGCGGGGGGCCCGGGCTAGAGGTTAGTGCCACGTGGGGCATGTTGCATGTCAGTGCGTCCCCCAGGCCGGCGGGAGAATTCGATATTGACGGTTTAATAATGAGATCTCATTGCTATTGATCGGTGTGGCAGCTCCTGCGGCGCCCTTGGCCGCCGTGCTTATCTGGCTTTTGAACATGGCTTACGGCGTGATAAAGGCTGCTTATTAAATGCTCAAAGTGACGGCAGCAGCGGGCCTGGCGATGCTGAGCCACCGTGTGGGGGTGCCGGGATGCTGATGCCATAGGAGCAGTCACTCCAGGCAGGGGCGTTCCCACCACAGGAACGCCCTCCCGCAGACCCTCCTCCTTAGGAAGGAAGCTACTCGGCAGTGCTTTTTATTCACAGTTAGGATAGAATTCACTATTGTAAAGTTAGCCATTGGGCAGTAGCTTTTAATACCTTCACAGAGTTGTACAACTATCACCTTTAATTCCAGAGCATTCTGTCTTCCCCAAAAGAGCCCTCAGCCCCCCTGCTCCTGGTGATCCACCTCCTGTCTCTGGATGTGCCGCCCAGACATTTCCCATGAATGGAATCCCACTGTGTGGCCTTTGGGGTCTGGCTTCTCTCACTGAGCGTCCTGTGTTCAAGGCCCACCACGTAATGAGTGTCAGTGCGTCCTGCTTGTTTTGGCTGAATTGTATTCTGCCACGTGGCTGTTGGTGCCTGCTGCCGGCTCCTCTGGAGGGCCGTGTGTCAGGGCCTGGGAGTGCTCCTGGGGTGGGAGGGAGCCACAGGCCAGTGGTTTGAGGGGCTCTCCCCCGTGGCGAGGCCCTCCGCCCCTTGCTCACCGGACTCCCTGGGCTTTTCCCAGATGACCCCAGCCAAGGCCGGCCTGCCGGGGCTTCTGTCTCCCGGCCCTGGGCCTTGGGGGTCACTCCTGGGAAACAGTCCTGGAAGCTCAGTGGGGGGCTCCAGTCTGGTGCCGGCCAGAGCCCCATTTTCTCTCCTTGTCTCCTCAGAAATGCGTGTACTGCCGGAAGCGGATGAAGAAGGTGTCTGGGGCCTGTATCCAGTGCTCGTGCGAGCACTGCTCCACGTCCTTCCACGTGACCTGCGCCCACGCCGCAGGGGTCCTCATGGAGCCAGATGACTGGCCCTACGTCGTCTCCATCACCTGCTTCAAGCACAAGTCGGGGGGCCACACCGTGAGTGCCAGCCCTCCGCCCCGCCCACTGCCCGCCCGCCCGCCCGCCCGCCGAGCGCTGACGCGGCTTCTCCCTCCGCCAGGTCCCGCTCCTGAGAGCCGTGTCCTTGGGCCAGGTGGTCATCACCAAGAACCGCAACGGGCTTTACTACCGGTGCCGCGTGATCGGCGCCACCACGCAGACCTTCTACGAAGTGAACTTTGAGGACGGGTCCTACAGTGACAACCTGTACCCGGAGAGCATCGCTGTGAGCGGTGGGCGGGCACAGGGTGGGCAGGCGAAGCAGTCAGGAGTGCCCACATCCCGCAAAGAGTCACCTGTGTCCAGGCCCCTAAGACCCACTGGACAGGTCTAGGCCACAGGCCTAGCGGGGAAAGAGCAGAAAGCACTGTCAGTCCAGATGAGCCCACAGCAAGGGCGGCCCCCAGGGTGGCACTGCATCACCCCCCCCCACCCCTGCCCAGCACCCGATCCTGTAAGCTCAGAGTGCCACTGGCTTCCACAGAGCCCACCATCTCACCTCCTGCCACATTCTGGCCTCCGCCCCCTAAAGTTTTACATATGTCTCCTCTTCCCCTGATTGACACCCCCCGCCACACATATTCCTGTTTCTAACAGAGTCGAGACTGTGTCCGGCTGGGACCCCCACCCGAGGGGGAGTTTGTTGAACTCCGGTGGACTGACGGCAACATCTATAAGGCCAAGTTCATCTCCTCTGTGACCAGTCACATCTACCAGGTGAGCAGGGTCCTGTCTTCCAGGCGTAGGAGGTGGGGGACCCGCAGGATCGGGTGGGCCCCTGAGTGTGCTGTTGAGGACTGAGTGTCTTTGCCCACTTAACCCAGAAAGTTAGGGCTTGTGATAGTTTTAAGCTGGAAGGGGCCTCAAATTGATTAATATTTCCCCTTACAGATGTTTTCTCGATTTTTTTGTGGGGGAAGACATAGATAACATAAAATGCACTATTTAACCATTTTTAAGCATATAGCTCAGTGTCCCTGATTTTCTTTTTTTAATGAAGACGGACGGTTGTTCCTTCCTATGATTGTGGAAGAGAAAGTGTTTACAGGCGTGGGACCCTAGAAGAAAACCACCCATGACCCAGCACCACAGATGATGACTGCGAATTCTTTGCTGTTTTGCTTTCTCTTAGCAGAGAAAACAAAACAATCTGGACCTTTCATCACTTTGAAAAAAAAAATTATGTATATATACATTGATTTCAGAGAAGAAGGGAGAGGGAGAAGAGAGAGAGAAGAGAGGGAGTCATTGATTGGCTGGCTGCCTTCTGCACGTCCCACACTGGGGATGGAGCCCGCACCCGGGCCTGTGCCCGGACTGGAATGGGACCATGACCTCCTGGTTCATAGGTCGATGCTCAGCCACGGAGCCATGCTGGCCGGGCAGCCGCCTTCCCTTGTAGTCACATCCCTTTCCCTCTCGTTGCCCTTAGTGATGAGTGGGGACATGAGTGGCCAGTGGGGATGCCCTGGACCAGCTCCCTTCCTGGCAGTTGAGCAGCAGTGGCCTGGGTGGCGGGACCTTGGGAGTGAGTCCTTGTGCTGGGCACCAGCCTGAGAACTGTGCCCCGGACAGGTGGAGTTTGAGGATGGGTCCCAGCTGACAGTGAAGCGCGGCGACATCTTCACCCTGGATGAGGAGCTGCCCAAGAGGGTCCGGTCACGGCTGGTAAGTGGCTGCCCTCAGTAGCCCTCAGGATCATGGGATGTGGCCTTGACCTCCTCGCCTTGGCCTTTGCTCCCCTGGGGGGCAGCTCCCAGGGAGTGAGCTGGCAGATGGGGGCCCGTTGGAGGGCCGTTCCCAGTAAGAGCGCAGGGAGGAGGCGAACCTGCACCAGGCAGGCGCACGGTGACACGTCTGCACGCGGCGCTCCAAGGTTGGCGGTGCAAAAAGAGACACTTTTCTAAGGCTTATCCCTTTTCAGAGGGAACAGTGAGTCCCGGAGGTGGGAAGCCATGGGCCTTTCCTCCGCCCGCCCATCGCTGTTCCCTTTCTTTTGTGTTTAATCCGAAGGCCAGGTTTTGAGGCGCAGGCAGCTGTGGCTCATTCAGAGCTCAAAGTAAGAGCTGGCGTGTGTGTGTGTGTGTGTGTGTGTGTGTGTGTGTGTGTGAGAGAGAGAGAGAGAGAGAAAGAGAGAGGAAGGAGTGCCCAGCTGACCTCAGACACCATGTCCCCTTGGGGAATGGAACACAGGCGAGCAGCTGCACTTCCATCACTTCTCATGGCCTCCTGTGGGACAGAACAGGCCCGGCCACCCCCTTCTAGGGCCAGTGACGGAGGTGTTGGACCCTCTGTGCCCACCTGCTGGGAGGCTCACACACAGGATCGGGGGTTACACAGAGGCAGGGCCACTGAGAAGGAGAAGCCATCCGGTGACTAATTGTCCCTCTCGGAAGGTCGTTAGGTGAGGGACAATTAGTGGAGCCCTGACTCAGCCTGTCGTGGCTGCTATAACAGACCACGGACTGGGCGGCCTAAACCACAGGCATTGTTTCCCAAAGTCCTGGAAGCGGGAAGTCCAAGTTCAGGGTGCTGGAAGATCAGGTGTCTGGTGAGACCCACTTCCAAGTTCACAGCCAGCCACCTTCTGGGGTCCTTGTGTGTGTGTTGTGGGGGAGGGGGCGAAGACAGAGGGGGGAACACTCAAGCCGCACAGCACTCACTCTGGGGTCCTTCTCAAAGGTCACCATCATGGCCTAATGCCTTCCCAAATGCCCCGCCCCTAATACCATCACACTGGTGGGTAGAGCTTCGGCACAGGAACTTGGGGGACATAAACCTTCAGTCCATGCACCCCCTTCTGCTCTAACTCCTGTGCTTTGGTCCCACAGTCGGTCAGCACCGGGGCGCCGCAGGAAAGCGCCTTCTCTGGAGAGGACGTGAAGGCCGCCAAGCGCCCGCGAGTGGGCGCTCCGCGAGCCGCCGAGGACGCGGGGCGGAACCCAGACTACCTGGCCTTCATGGAGAGCCTCCTGCAGGCCCAGGGCCGGCCCCGAGCCGCCTTCTAGGACAGCCGCCGCCGCCCAGCCACCCCGGCCCCGCACAGCAGGCGGCGCGGCCCGCATCTGCTTGCTGTGAATTCCTGTCCTCGCCTCCCGCCCCCAGAGGCTACCTCCGTGCTCTGCGGGGACAGGAGCAGCGGATGCTGGGCCCAGACTCAGGGAGTGGGGTCGCGCCGGCTCTGGGGGCATCGGCGGGGGCTCGCGCCACCCCTACTACTCAGATTCGTAAACCGTAAGCTCTTCTTCTCGAAAAGGTGCTACTGCGTTGCCTGCCTCCTGAGCAGCCTTTGAGATTGTGACTCCTGTACATAGATCTCCTTTGTGAGGCTCTTTCTATAAATACTTATTGTTTAAAAAACTCAAGAAAAAAGGAAAACAAAGAAGAGGAAAAAAGTCCCTAAAGTTGTTTTGTAGATTTGTTGCTTTAAAAACAAAACAAAACAAAAAATATTCTTTTTATTAGAACTGAGACGTGCTGAGGGAGACAAAAGCATCTCATTTTTTGTTTGTTGTTGTTTGAAGATCTCACTCCTCTGTGAGCAGGCAGGGAAGTGCGTGAGGCCTGGAGGGGAGGACACCCAGCGACAGGCGACGCCTGCCACTCTGCTCTCCCCCTGACTTTGCGGAGGCCTGCGCAGCTGGCCGCAGTGCCAGCCCTCTCTGCCAGGCAGGAGGAGGCTGAGGACCTTTTGGTGGCCAAGTGCTGGCCATGGCGTCTGGGCGCCTCCCTCCTGTCTGAGCACCTTTGCAAATAAACAATCTCTTCCTGTTTGTTCCATCTTTTGCTTCTTCCCCCGGGAGAACCATTCCACAGCGAGGCCTGCATATGCGAGAGGGCTCTGTGCAGACTGACTGTCCCTGGTGCCACCCAGGACCCCTCAGCCTGCTCCGGGGAGGGAGCCCCAAAGTGGGTGGCCTGCAGCCGGAGCAGATGGGTGCCAGGCTTTCGGGGAGGGAGAACACAGCCGAAGCAGGCCTCCAGGGGCCCCGTCCAGCCTGTGTCCCCGGCTCCCGGGCCCCTGCTTTGGCTGCGGCCCTACATGGGGAAGGGGCATGGAGAGGGCTTCCTGGGACCCGCGGGGCTGGCAGCGTCCTGTCCTGTGACCCGCGTGTCTGGGAGAGAGTGAGGAGAGAGGGGGAGGACCGCGCTGCTTTCAGCCTGAAGGACCTGCCACTTCCGGTGGTGCGCTGGACTTAGGCGAGAAACACGCTTTCCCGTGAGCTCAGCCCGCGCCCTCCATCCCTGCCTGCCTCTCCCTGCAGGACTGACAGCGTCACTTACGTGTATACATTTTTTTAATTAAAAAAAAAAGTGTTCTAATGATTACCAGGCCAGAGGAACTATTTAAGGAAAATGGAGAGTATGTAAATGAGCCGAGAACCTTTCATTCCCTTGGTGGGGGGCAGAGGGCAGGTGCCCGAGTGGGCGGGGCGGGAGGGACTGAGGGGCGTCACCAGGGTGTGGGGGTCTCCCTCTGCATGCAGCAGCCCGCCTGGTGGCGCCATCTCTGTATTCATATGTAGTTTGAAAATGCTATTTATATTGTAAAGAGAATAAAAAGAAGCAGGCAGATACTCTGTGGCCCGCGGGGTCCTGGGGGTCTGAGGGGTCTGGCCGTGGCGGGGTGTCTGGGTCGTGCCCCTGTCATGGGTTTCGGGATGACCTGAGCAGACAGGTGGCCTCACAGCAAAGGGGAAGCACATTTCCCATGAAGATATGTGACGGTATGTGCAAAAACAGAAACCCACCCACCATGATTTTTTTCCCATCCAAGATTAAGGATGTGCTGTATTTTTGCCTAATTTCCCTGCCTCTAGGTTCATAATGAATTAAAGGCTCATGAGCACTGCGATTACAGGTCCCTGTCGTCAGTGTGTCTTCATTTCTGAGCGGTGCCTGGGCGACAGGAAGGCGGTCCCCCAGCGGCCTGGCCCCTCGGCTCCCAGCCCCCAGGGGGAGGGCTCCTCCCCAGGCTGATGTCCACAGCTTGTATCTGCACAGATTCCTCCTGAAGGCTTTCTGGCCCCTCAGGCAGGTGGGGCTGAGGTGGCTGTGGCAGTGGGTCCCTCTGCAGGAACAGTCAAGCAGCACCCTCTGTCTTTGACCCCTCTCTTGTTTGGAAAAAATGGCTGCCCTCTCCTGCTGCCTTCTCAGCCTCTGCGCAGTTCCCGTGACGCCTGAGTGGTGGGCATCTATGGGGCATGTAAGGCGTGGGTCTCCTGGCCCTGGGGTGAGTCTGGGCCTCTGGCACTCATGAACATGTCACTCATCTCACAAGTACTGGGAAATAACCCAACATCGCAGGCCTGATCCCCGCCCTCAAGCTGACACCAGTGAGAGAGGCAGACAGTAAGACGTACGGGATTTACAGTAAAATGTAAAGAGCGGAGGGGGCCATGGTAGGCTGTGCTGTTACTAGCGCCCTGTTTTTACACAGGAGCCCTGAAGATGAGGAAGTGAGCCATGGGGACAGCCCGTGCAAAGGTCCTGGGGCAGGACTGCTTGAGATGGTGGAAAAGCGGCCAGGAAGCCTGAGTGGCTGAGCAGAGTGAGAGAGAGGGAGGTGAGAGAAGGAGGTGATGGGAGCAGGTCGTGCAGGGTCTGTGGGCCGCAGGGAGCACCTCTTCCTTCATCCCAAGGTGGGTGGGAGCCTGGAGGGCAGTGGACTGAGGAGGGATGGGACTTGGCTTGGGAGCTCACAGGCGCCTTCTGGCTGCTGCGGGAGGACAGCCTGGGGGTGAGGGTGGGAGCTGGGGATCAGCGGGGAGGGAACGGCACTGAGCACCTGGAAAGATGGCGCTGCCATGAGCTGGAAGGGGGCAGCCTGTGCAAGGGCCGGGGCTGGGGGGAGAGCCCCAGGAGAAGAGACGAGCTTGGGGCCAGGGCAGGGCCTTTAGATGTCAGCTCAGAGGTGATGTGTTTACTGGACTGTGAGAAGGGACTCAGAACTGGCCCCACGATGTTTGTACAGGCTGGTGAGGAGGAGCAGCCTATGCATGGGGTACCCCTCCCTGAGCCTCGGCTTTTCCCCTGCAGAACGGGTGTCCTTGCAGGGCAATTGTGTCCTGAGCAGAGATTTCCTTTGGTGAAGTTTACATCCAGCCACAGCCATCTCACCCGACTTCTCAGACCCTTTTCAGGGAGAAGCTGCCCTCAACAGCACCAGGACTCAGTTTCCCCATTTGCTACAGGGACCCTCTGCATCACTGACTAGAGAGGTCAGTGTCCTCTGAGCCTGCCCAGAGCTTGATGGACACGTTCGGTCCTCAGCCCCGGGCTGGGGGCCGCAGAGAGCAGGCCCAGGTGGTTGGCACGGCAGCAGCTGGCCCGCCGTTACCATCATTCTCTGAAACGTCGTAAAACAGGGAGGTGTGTGGGACAGGCCCTCATGGTCTGCAGCCAGGAGAGACCGGGCTGGGCTCCGCGTGTGCAGCCGTGTGGAGCTAATGGCCCTGGGCTCAGCACTGCAGGGCTGGACCACTCATCAGGCAGCAAATGCTTGCTGCGCACCTGCCTGTGCCGGACCCGAGGAGGTAGCTGAACAAAGGGACACGGGCATTGCTTTTGTGGAGTTTAGAGTTCAGGAGAGCAGGCAGAGGACGGGAACTTCAGGGACCATAGCTGCATCTCTGACACATGCCCTGAAGGGCCAGACGGGAGGAGGGGGTAGAGGTCCTGGACACTAGGATGTCCAGGAGACTTCTTAGGAGGTGAGGTTTCACGGGATCCAGCCCCTCACGGCTGTCCTATCAGAAAGACGCGGGCCAGGGGCACACTGTGTCCAGTGCCCCATCCTCCTGGGCCCAGCAATCGAAGCCCTCAGGCCAAATCCAGCCCTCCATTTGTTTTTGTTTTCATCCTTACCCGAGTATTTCTAGAGAAAGTGGAAGGGAGGTAGGAAGGGGGAAGGGGGAAGAGAAACGGTCGTGTGTGAGGGACACGTCGATTGGTTGCCTCCCACACGTGCAATTGAACCCAAAACCTTCCGTCTGTGTGCCACTGCTCTAACCACCGAGAAACACCAGTCAGGGCCTCCAGCTGTTTTTATAAATAAACCTTTATTAGCACAGCCACACCCACTCATTTAGCAACATCTATGGTGGCTTCCACTCTACAACAGCAGAGCTGAGAAGTCAGACATGTTCAGCATCTGGCCTTTTACGGAAAAAAATGGTCCTCATCCCAGACCTAGAGTAAGTGGGAGGTGGCTGCCTCCACACCTACTGGGTGCCTCTGACAACATCCTTCTCCCATGGGGCAGCCCTCCTGCCCAGACCCACCCCATCTCTCAAAGCTCCCTGATTCCTAGCACACTCCCTCCCCTGTCCCCCAGGAAGCATGGCAGAGAGAAAAGACTGACCAGGGACCCTCCACTCACCCATCACCCATCCTCTGGGGCTCTGCCCTCCACAGCCCCGCCACCTCCGCTGGTCCTGCTCACTGTTGGCGAGAGACCCAAACCTGTCAGGTGTCCCAGCCCCGCAGGCTCCCCACCCCCGGGGACCGCCATCAGCCTGTGCAGAAAAGGGTTCGGGCTTCCGTTAGCCCCGGTGTCCGCCCCGGTGTCTGCGGCTCTTACCGTGGTGCTGACATCTGTGTCTGCTCCCACCACACGCCCCCTCGCCAGCTGGGCCCCGTCCCCAGTGCCCCGCTCTGGCACCTCCCCAGGGGCCGTTAGCTTGTGGATTAGATTTACTTAGCACTTTGGCTCTGTCACTGGAGAAAATAAGAATTATTTGCTGTCATGGGCAGCATGAGGGGTGACACACAGCCCAGGCCCAGGCGAGGCCGGGAAGAGTGCGTATCTGGGTGCCTGCTGCTCCCCAGGGGACGGACAGACGCCTCCCGGCAGCTTCCTGGGGCGGTGGGGGCGGGCCTCTCCCAGCCCCCCCCCCAGCTGCAGCAGTGTGTTTACTTTAAAAGCACAAAATGTGGCTGCAAAGTGGGGCGTTTGGAAATGGTTTATGTGGCACTGACCCTCCTTAGTGGCCTCCGCTGACCCCCAAACACTGCTCTGTTGCCCCCATATTTATGTCAAAGGACCACAAGCTGGTGGCTTATCGCAGCAGACATTCTCTCCCGTCCTGGAGGCCAGGAGTCCCGAGATCCCGGTGTCCGGGCCTCCGGAGGCTCCCAGAGCGGGTCCGGCCTCTTCCGGCTTCTGGTGGCCCCGGTGGCCGCATCGCTGAGGGTCTGCCTTCTCCCCCTGGCCTCTCCCCGAGTCCGTCTTTCCTCTGTCTTTAGTGTCTCAGCCTTCTTCATATAAGGATACCAGTCACTGGATTCAGGGCCTGCCTGAATAATCCAGAATATTCTCTTCGTCTCAAGAACCTTCACTTGATCACATCTGCAAAGACATTTTTTATTTCCCCGAATAAGGTCACAGGTTAAGGAATTAGCACCTGGTATATGTTTTTGGGGTCCTCAGGCCACTCCAGCATCCTTCCCCCATCACAGACCTAGTGACCCTGAGGTAACTGCCTGGTCCCAAACTGTCCCGAGCTTAAGGATAAGGTCTTAGTCTCCTCGGCATCTGCTGAGCTCTTACATCATAGCCCAGTTTCACGTTCTTCCGACCGTAACTAAAGTCACCCAGGGTGTGTGGGAGCCCCCATGGGAAATAGACAGTAATGTGTAACCCCAACTGTGCCACAGAGAGGGAGAGGAGAGAAAGAAGCTGATCGGTGGGACTCTGGAAAACAGTGCTTTGACCAGACACTGTGAGGCTACAGACAAAGATACTTCGGCACCAACACCGTACGCAAGCTAGGAACTGGTTCTCTACGGAGCTGCTTTATGTGAGTCCTGGGGTTGAACAAATGAGTAAATATATTGCAGGTGATGGAGCCAGGTTCCTCTGAGTCAGAGAAAACCATTTAGGGAATGCTCACAAAAAGGATACAGGCTGTAGAAAGAACACAGGATCCAGACCTAAGCCAAGGCTAGGAAAATTTGAACAAGATAAATTACAGTATTGAATTATAACCAATAGAATAAAATGTCCAAATTGCTACGAATAATTGAAATGATAGGTAAATGGGCTGGGGGCCCTGGCTGGAGCATCATTCCTGTACACCAAAAGGTTGGGGTTTGATCCCCAGTCAGGGCTTGCATACATGAGACAACTGATCAATGTTTCTTTCTCACATCAATGTTTCTCTCTCATCCTTCCTCCCTCTCTCTGTAAAAAAAAGAAAAGAAAATCAATGAGACATATTCTTACCCTGGCCAATGTGTTCCGTGGTTCGAGCATCGGCCCACACACTCGGAGGGCCATGGCCTCAGTTCCTAGTCAAGGGCATGTACCTGAGCTGCAAGCTCACTCCCTGTCCTGGGTTGGGGCACATGTGGAAACAACCAGCCAACGTGTCTCTCATATCGATGATTCTCTCTCTCCTCCTCCCCTCCCTTCCGCTCTCTCTAAAAGCAATGGAAAAAATATCCGCAGGTGAGGATTAACAAAAACACACAAAAAGCATATCCTTGGGTGAGGACGAAAATAAATAGGCTGGGAGAAGGGGCAGGTGAATTTTGCTGGATAAATGTAGGCGGGAAGAAAGGACGGGGGTTCACATCCAGTCACTCAGCAAACGCCGACAGAGCGCTTGGTTGTCCAGGAGCCTGAGCTGCAGGGGGAAGGAGACCGGCAAACATTGTCTCTGCCCCGGGGGAAGCACCTATAATTTTACGTTGAATTCCTGCAGCCAAATGACACCCCCATGCCTCTGTGCCCCGATGTGCGATGGCGAGTGCCACCTGCCCTTACCCTGCAGGACGTGATCTTTGTCTATTGGATCAGCGCAAAGCAGCCTCTGATCGTGGTTTAAACGCTCCTTCCTCTTATAAGCTGAGCACTG